ACGCATTATTACAACATTTAAATTTCATTAGGAGTATATATATTGCAAAAGTATTGTTTTAAAAAATGCTAATTTTTCAATTTCACTGGATATCTTCTCGATTTTCAAATATTCAGTTTTTAAACGATATTTTGATTGATTTGCCATTAACAAAAAAAAAAAATTGGAATTATTTTGAATAAAAAAAAAATGAATGATGCCGGGATTGAACCCGGGCCGCCGGCGTGCCAGTCGAGCACGTTACCGCTAGGACAACGCGCTGATTTAAAAAATAAAAATTCATTACTGGTATATATTCAATACATTGAATAATTTTTTTCTTTGAAATTCCACAAGATGTGGCTTCCCCCTTCCGCTGGTTGTACAGTCGGCTAAATTTCAGTTAAACAAGTAAAAAAAAAATCATTCATACCGCAGAAAATACAATTCACCCCGTCGACTTGATTGACACCCCCATTGCATGTGGCGCCCTCCCATTCTTGGGGTGCAGCACTACGATGCCGCTGAGGTCACTCAAACCCCCAAAACTGACCCTCTACGTTAGTCAATCCTCTTCAGGAACAAGTATAAACAAAATTGTAATTTAAAAATGTCTCCTTTCACTCCCAGCAGCTAGGTTAATTAATTATAAACCCCTAGAACAATAGAAATACTAATTGAGTCGATTGTCAACGTCAATAATAAACAATGAAAATTAATTGTAACGTGGAAGTGGTCAACAGATCGGTCTGTGCTCCAAGGAAAAAAGCACAACGATCTTGTCTGGCAATTGGTAGACAATCCGTAAAATCCAATGAACTTCATCTTTTACTCCAAACATTACAAAATAAATTAGGAACTAAATACAAGGTAATTAAAATTACAATGCACTCAACAATAATTAATTTTCCATCATCCCCGATTTTTTTTCAGTTCAAAAAATAAAAATTGATTAAAAATTCAGATTGAATCAACTCCACAATTAATAATTTATAATAAGAATAAGATATTTATAATAAGAGGATCTTCTATTTCTGAACATCTCATTAAAAATGTCTTGATTGTTTTAGATCGACGAGAATATTGAGAAAGTCTTCACAAAATTCGTCAACAATGGAAAAACGACGATTAGATTAAAGGAACCTCCCCACGACCTGAATATCCAGTGCGATCCCATCCTGTTGAAAAGTTTTCTTCGCACCCTGGAGCTCGGTGTAACAAAAAAATTAAATGCCTCTGTACTCTGTGTATCGAACATGAACGCAAAAAATATTGCACAAGCACCAAAGACTAAAGTAACAATTAAAAGTAAATCAGATTATCCAGTGCTGGAAGGATTCCCAAGGACAACTGAAGAACTGAATATTGTCGGCCTCGAGAGAAAATCCTTCGATCGTCAGATACTGAAGCTACATCGTCTACGAGTCCTCAATTTATCTGACAATAAAATAACGTCATTACCTAGAGAATTGGGGGCGTTGTCGTGTTTGACTGAATTAATTGTAGCTAATAATGGACTCGGACATGTAGGAAAAAATAAATGGTCTTGGATGAGTGAAGGATCCCTTTCCAGAACTCTGAAGCTCCTGGACTTGAGTGGAAATGAAGTGAGCAATTGCTGTATCACACAAAATCCAAGAGATCTCATCATTTTCCAATATTAAATTCTCATTTCTAATTTAATCCCTTTCAATATATTCAGAAATAATTACGAGACGTTTTGCAAAAATCATTGAAATATTTTTAAGTCAATTTTTATCACAATTTATTTACAGCTGACTGATCTACCGAATCAAATAGGCAGATTGAGGAATTTAGTGACTTTGAATGTCAGTCACAATAATCTTAGGAGTCTTCCCACGAACGTCGGAACATTATCATCATCGCTCAAGTATCTGGATATCTCCCACAATTCCATAGAATCCCTTCCTGGGGGCATGATGAAATTCACTCTCGAAGGTCTAAACATCGCCCACAATCCCCACATCTCTCGGGTCAAGCAGAATGGATTTAATATTAATTTTCGAGTACTAACACTCACACAATTGGGGGCACAAAAAGTTATACATTACAGGTAACAAAAATCGAGTTGAATCGATTTATTTTCCCCCACAAAAATATTTATTTCAAGATCTTATCCTTTTTTACGTTAAAATCAGAATAGAATTAATAAAAATCCAGTGGAGAAGGATTAATTAATAATCATTCAGTTATAAGTAATTTATTAATTATTGAATGAATGAATATGAATGAAATTATATCAATTAATGAATAATTCATTATTAAATACGCAAAAATTTCTTTTAGACTTGATTATGATGCCAGTATTATCCCATTTACTCTCGTGTCATATTTGGATAATGCATCTTATTGTGTCTGTGGAGAACCTGTCCTGGGCGAAGACAACTGCCTCCAGGTGTCCAGAAATGTCAGCCAAATAGCAAAAGAAGTCACAGCCTCAGAGGATATCAATGTCTCGTTTCAATGTGTTTTATGCTCTTTGAGCTGTGCTCAAAGTATTTTATTCCCCCGGTGATCATCGCCAATTCCAATGTAATTATAAATATGATAATAAAATAATTTTTGTAATTTTATTAATTAGGCTATTGTGATTATTGATATTATTCATTCACCACATTTAATCCTCGAGTTTTGATTTAAAAGTCTGGAACGAAAAAATTACTCTTTACGACTGTTTTTTTACGGAAAATTTGAATTAATTTTAAAAAGAAAATTCAAATTTCGCGCCATTTCAACGGTAAATCCCCGAAACTGAAGCTCTGCTTTATCGATCGATTACCCGTGTCTTCTGTCCTTTTTCTAATTACGCACTACTGCAGTTTGAAGTGAAAAAAATTTGATGAACCTTAACCTAGAATAGTTTGTGTACAATAAAGAAAATAAACATCTCGCAGTGTCTGAAAATATTTGAGAGATCGAGAGATTTGTGGTACATCGATTAATTGACTTGATTGTTCACTGATAAAACAATAGCAATAATGTCGAAACGTAAATACGACGAGATTCTCACGGACGAGAGGAATTGGTCAGCTGCGACGAGAGCAAATGAAAAACAACATACCCTTGACTCTGACGAAGAGGACGATGAAGTTAAAGAGGATACGTACAATGTCATGAATCCTGACGATCTAGAAGGTGGATCTTCATTTGAATTTTTTTATTCGTCATTGGAGAGAGCAGATAAACAATTTTTTTTTTCTTAGGAACTGAGGAGGCATCCGCTGCAGCTGAGACCAACGTCGGCTTCACGGCTTTCAACATGAAGGAGGAACTTGAAGAGGGACATTTTGATAAGGATGGACATTACCTGTGGAACAAGGATAAAGAAATTCGGGACAACTGGTTGGACAATATTGATTGGATTAAAGTAAATTTGAGATGATTGTTTTTTCGTTGTTAAGTGAAATAATTGTCTCACAGAATAGATTATTCTCTTTTTTCTCTTTTTTCCATTTGATTTTTTTTTCTTTTTCAAATTTCCACAAATTTACATTTTAACAACAAATTATTTAATTTTTTACTTGTTATGTTCATTTATCTCATTTCATTGTTTTTGCATTGAGATTTATTTTTTAATTGAGAAGACAATAATTTTTAATTGCTCTCCAGATGATTTTTATAATGCGATGAATTTTCCAGATTAAACCGAAAGCATCAGGAGGTGGAAGTGATGATAAAAATGAAGAAGAAAAAGGATTGGCTGATAGTGACAGCGAGGAAGAGCCAGGTGTGATGTTCGACCCAATCCCATTGTACAAACAGATACTGAGTTACTTAAATCCCGGTGAAACGGTATCAAAAGCTCTCTGCAGACTAGGTAATCCATCATTTTTTTTGTCACGAGTCCAAGAACAGGTGTTCAGTTTGCATGAGGTTTGCTCTTCACTTGATACTGTCGTTTGCTCTAGGTAAAGGAAAAAAACACATATCCTCCGCGGAGCGATGGAAGAGAAAAAAAGCTGGACTCAGTGAAACCGACGAAAACTCTGATAAAATCGTCAAACTCACAGAACTCGCCAATGAATTGTTAACGCGCACCGGTAATATGGATATCTATCAGGAGGGATACGACGAGATCAAGAAAAAGGTAAACAATAATAACGAAATATAAAAAATTGATTAATAATTTCGTAATTGATAGAGTCGAATGATTGAAATGATTAATTAATTAAATAATTCAATTTCAGGTCGATAAATCAGTGAAACATTCTCACCCCTCGAAAGAAGAAGCTGAACTTGACATGTACGCTGATGATTTTGACACAAAAGAAAAGCAAAAATTAGTGGAAATAAGTGAAGGTAATTAGCATGCGACTCTCCCCTAAAGTTTCACGTTAAATTAACTTCTCCCAATTACTCGAGTTAATTACCCCATCGACTTTCCTCACCGAAAATTTCTCTGAGAACAATTCTCTCCTAGTGCATCATAAAAAATTATTTATTCCTCCCCAATCCTCCGGAATTACAAAAATACTACTTTACCAGAATTCGGAATAATTCTGTAATAAAAATTAAATTAAATTACCCAATAAGAACGCCGCAGGGATCGAATATTGTCATTAGGTTTAATTAACAAAAAATCGGAGACTCTATTAATGATGATTTATAATTTATATCGTAATTTATATTGTGGGAAATAATCTCCGGGGGATTTCTTTTTGGGGTAATGAACATCTGATCGTTAATCTAGTGTTTTTAATTTGTAGTTGGCACTTCGTCAAAAGAGGATGAAGAAACAATGAAGGAGTCGGTGGATGCTGAAGTGACATGGGAATTAAAGTGGTCACAAGGAGAAAACAGTGAGATTCATGGACCACATAGCAGCCAGCAGATGCATAAATGGGCGAAGGAAGGTTATTTCAAAAATAGTGGCTGGGTTCGTCGCACCTCTCAGCCCGGATCGTTCTACAGTGCTGCGAGGGTCGATTTCGAATTATACATGTAATTTATCATCTTTATCCTCTTTATTGTCTACAAACCAATGAACGTCAGAATTATGTTTAAAAATAATATTTCCATATTTACAAACAGGAGTTACATTCAATTGCATCAATGCAATTGTCTTTAATGTCTTATCCTCTTTTTTGGAGTTGTTTCAGGGATTTCCCTGCACTCCGGGTAGATTCTGTCGCATTCACTGAAACTGTTAAGTCATTCAATCATTTCAAATCTTTATAATTATTAATTTTTTTTTTTCAAGGGTTTATTTACTTGATGGAAGTATGTATTTTTGTAAAAATCTTATTTTGATATTGCAAACGATTGGTGGATGAATAAAGAAGTTGTGGATTTTAAAAGCAGCGCGAAGATTTTTTCGACTGCTACATGGGAAAAAATATTTTATTTTATAGAACGATTTGAGAGGATGGTTATGCTGGTTATGACCTTGAGTAAACTCGACTAATAATCATCAATATTAAATAATTCCCGCGATTTCTTCTCCTTCAAAAATTCGGGATTCAAACAAAATGAATAATAATCAGTGGAGTTTATTCAAGGACCCCCACATAATCATCCCCCAAAGCAATATGATCATTATCATCAGCGCCTAATCGTAATCCCCTGGTAATTACTCAATCAGAGGAATTATCTATCGAATAAAAATACACACTCCTCTCAAGTAAATGGATCTCTCGCGAAAATCATTTCTCATCTCAGTACACAAAAATAATCAAGATACTCAAATCGCGAAAAGTAATTTGAAAAATCTGAACTCACTCTAACGAAGAAGTCATTACAATCGTAAACTGGCAAATAGTGCGATGCTGGCACTGTTTATTGGAGAAATTCATAAGAGGGAGTAGAATAGCTTCGACTTTCACCAAGAATCCATCAATAAAATCATTTGAGTCATCACGCCGATTGACTCGATCGTATGGAGACGGTGCAAGCCAATCATCTTTATATTCGTACGAGTCATGAGGGGATGGTTGTCCTAATTACAAAAATATCAATCAGTTACAATCACCAGTGATTAATGAAATTTAATACGTACCGTATTGAATCGCTGGCAGTTCATCAATCGGCTGATGACTTTTATAGACGTAATTCGAATATTTGAATACACTGAGAAATTTCAACGCTAATACCGTCGCTCCGATAATCGTTATCACGACGAGTACAATTTTAATTTTAAGTATAACGAATGCAACTAGTCCTTGAAGTCCACCTAAAACTGTTGAATAGAAATAAATAATCATGAGTTATTAAAATAAAAAAAAAGCTGTCGAGCATTTTGAAATGTTTCTCTAGAATTAAGTTCACGAATGGCTCAATTTTTCTCTCGTTTTATTGGTTTATTTTTCACGGTACTCTCTTAATTAAAGTTGAAACTAATTACATCCGACACGGTGGAGTGGATTGAAATAAACGTCGCTGTAGCCAGTTTTCTTCCTCGCTTAAACGTGAAAACAGAATAAAATCAGGTCTCGAGGGCTCTTCACAGTTGAAATTTAACGTGAAAAATGGGAGAATTTTTTTTTTTACTCACGATATAGCAAATGATATTTTCCCTTTCGCGGAGTGAAAATGTGGGAATTTTTTTCATCGTCTTGTACTTCAGCCAGACAATCCGTCATCATACACAGTATTAAGAACAAGTATATCTTCATCTTTTGGTTGGGGGGTTGATGAAGTCGATGGCTCGAGGTGGAAAACTAAACTGACATTTTAAGATGTTGAACTTTCTATTTATGGGAGTTGACAGTTTAGAAATGGGGAGATAATTCGCCCTAACGTTTTTCGCAACCAAGACTTTTCTCTTTTCACTGCTAATTATATTATGTACAATGTCAGGTGTGCAGCCACTGGGTCAGTGAGATAGTTCAAAATAAGTGTCAATTACTTGTTTCACGTGTACTCGTCTGGCTTTTTCCCTCGGGAAAGTGGATAATTATTTGTTGTCTCATTTAACTGAATTGAAAGTTCTCATTATAAATTCACTCTCAGGCCCCCACGAAAAAACATATTTATAAACAAAAATATATCTCGATATATTTGATATATTGTTATTAAAACTATCTGTAAAATCGTCTAGTGCCGAATTTACTGAATATTAATATTCACTTCCTGATGTTATCCAGTTTTATTAATTAATTGGAAATCTGAGTTCAATAAATTTTGAGAGGAGATTGCGATATCCTTGAATGTGTGACAACTAAAATTGTTGCTCGGGATAATAAACAAATTGTCTTTAAGTGGATGCGAGTTTCACCGAAAATTGTTACCAGGAACAACAATATTTCGAAATATTTAATTTTATATTGTTGAAAGTCCTTGAGAGTCTTGAGAAAACAGTACAGGTCGTTACAGCCCCTCGGTAAATTATTTGACATTATTTTAGCGGGAATACGCAATGCGTGCGTAAAGTGTGACTTTACATGCGATTTAATAAAATTTTTTTTGACAATTAAAATATTAATATTGGATTATATTATTGTTGTGATGGAAATATATGATATAGGTGAATATAAATGCATGATATATTTCAGAATAATAATATATTTTGAATATATTTTTTTAAACTTTGTGTAGGTGTGGGAAATATTAAATAAAGAAATACGATAAAACATCCCGGATATAAGAAAGAGAGAATTTAATATACAATATAATTTTATTACAAGTCTTAAACATTTTGTCAGCAATCGTAAGAAATGTTGTTAATTTTCATTCTGAAAATTGAATTATATTTATAATATCTTACGCACGTATCGAGACATTACATAATTATTCATTATTGTTGACTTATCGTTAATGCTAATTAATTATTTACGCTTAATTATTATTCACTCGTTGTTATTTTCATTTTTTTTATAACAAACTTTACATATCAACAAAATCGATAAACAATAAATTGTCCTGACTCTCATCATTTTTACAAAGTAGATTCCTGAGGCATTTAATAGCGACTCTTAATTGATAGAAGGGATACAATAAAAAATTTATTGTTCATAATAATTCACCAGGGGGTGCGTTAATGGGGGGGAGAGCTGAAGGACGCTGATTGAAATTTTTCGATTGCTATTCCCCATCGAGATCTAATTACCGACATGTCGTAATTTCATGACTTTTTATTTCATCCCAAAATCGTAATTTGTCATGCAGTTTTATGGCCTTAATTATTATCCACGTAAAAACCAAATAATTACTATAAAATCTAGGGAACCCCCGGCACTCTAGCCGAAAAAATTACTAAAATTGTAAAAGACCTTGAGGCCTGTGGTTTTTTTTGGGCTAGAATTTACACCCTGAGTTCCCAGAATTCATAATTCGATCATTTGTGTTTATTTCGCGGGTAATTCACCCGCCATTTTACAAATTGTGCAAAGCTCAGTGGAAAAAGGGCTGTTTTATTTTATCGTAATTGAATTCCCCGGATTGTTATTCCCCTCCGAGACCCAATCACCGACATGTCGTAGGTCATGCTCGTTCACTCCACCCCAATTCCAATTTCTCATCCCCTTCAGTACTCCGTAATTACCACCCCCGTAAAACCAAATTATTACACAAAAATCGAGGGAATTCCGAGAGTTCTAGTCGAATATCTAGCCAAATATCTAGCCAAAAAAAAATCACTAGACCCAAAGGGGCCAGGTCGAGAAAAGGGAAGAGTGCAAGAGTACGAATAAAAAAAAGCCAGAAAAGAAAATACAACAGGAGTGGTTGGGGAGAAAAAGGTGAACGACACGAAGAGCTACTGTAGTGACGAGGGTGGGGCTTGTATCGAGTTTAGATAGACAGCAAGAGACAGTGAAACTGGCAGATATACACGAATGCACGCGTATCGAGCTCTGGGACACATTTTTAAAATGCTGTTGTAACGACTGAGAACACGTGTGGCCCTTTGGGGATAACGACGACCCCAGAGTCCACAGGAAATAGCCAAAAGGGAAGAAGAAGAAAACTATTATGCATACAGATTTGAGTAATGTATGTCCAAAAAAAGAAGTGATTAGTTTGACAAATATAAATGAAGACATGTGCGTGAATTTACATTGGACACGTTAAAACCCTCATTTTGTTTTTTCACCATTTCAATATCATGGGTTCTCTTCTGTTTTCAAAACACTCAACCACTTCCTCAAGTATGTGAAACCATTAGTTGTTTTTGTGTCATCACCTCTGGGAAATAATTCCTGTTATTTATCTTTCATGATCTATTTTAGATAATTTTACACTGGAAAATTGGGGGAGTTGTGTATTTCGAGACAACCATCAGATCTAGAGGCTCCTCGAAAAATCAATTTTATGCATTTCTTGGTGGTGGAACTTCTGTACAAAAATGGCAATACAACCCAGATTAAAATCCATTGTGGATTCTATTATTACGTACCAACCTTAGACTGTTGATTTTTTATTCATGCAGCTAAACCTAGGTACAACCTGGGATTCAAGGCGGTGAATAGAGTTGAATAAGTCGAATGTCTTTAAATTGGAACGGTACCATCTGGAAAATTCATTCTAGCCATGACAGAAATTAAAACTATTATTCCAATGGCTGTATATTTATTCAATTCGATTCAGCTTTCCCTTCTCAATAACTTCAAAAACGTAACATTAGTCCAAACGTAACATGATAAATTAATAAATAGACATATCCATATATCTATGCTTATTATATTATTTATATAATTACAAGTTAATTATGGGTTTTCATTTCGGGAGGCAGAATTAGTGGAAATTCATCATTAATTTTCAGTGAATGATATTCATTAGTCCGATAAATTACAGTGGGAAAAAAGTTTTTGCCAAATATTCATTTACTTCGGAGAGCTGATTATTATCATTATTTAATTATCATGATTATTGGGGATGATGGGGGGCACTCCTCCCATGGTTATTATTTTTTTAATTTCCAAGATTATTTATACCTTAGGAAACAGTCAAAATTTTTTTTCAAATCTCAGGGACAGAGTCTTCGGAATTTTTAATTATATATGAGGTGACATTGAATTTTAATTAAAATCAGTCACAAAATATTTGATGTATTTTGAAAATTACAGCGGATTGGGTTTTCATGTTAAATTATATTTATTTAATTGAAAATATAAATTTTCAATCAATCGTTAATTCAGGAAAATTATCAGTTGAATGTTATCATGTATATAATTATATATATATATATATATATATATATAGATATATTTTCCTCCGAGTAATCGAACATTTCGCAAAAATATATATTTTTCTCAATATATCCACAAATTCGCGGGAACTTTTAATCCGAAAAAGTATAAGTCCAGAGGAAAAATACCCAGGAACTTGAATAATGCATGTATTTTCAAAAAAAAAAATTCGTGCAAATTCCATTCAACCCCGTAAATTGAATAATCAATCGCTATTCTCTTGTACCTAAATAATTTTTGCCAATTTACAGCGAATTCCATTCATCCGGAAATTGTGCACACTGCAGTAAAAATGTGTGCATCGATTGATCAGTAAGTAAATAAAAGTACATCAGGTTCATTCGGTCGTTTCGCTCCAATTGGTATCCCAAGTTCTACAACCGGGATATCACAAATGTTCCGGATCGTTTGGCCGTTAAATCCGAATCTTCACGCTTCATACAAACATCTCTGTACAATTTTACCTTGTGTTTCAGGGTACGAAGATTCAACTTAAATGCCAGATAAAGGATTGAGCTTTCTCTCTGCACCCCACATCATGATTAAAGAGACAATGAGAACTCGATAAATCACTTTCCTTCGGGTACCTTAACATGAACACTCGATAAATTAATTTAACAAATCCCTTAATCATTCTAATTGGGAAAATTTGATTCGCCGCTAATAGATTCGTCAATTATTTATTTACACACGTGAATTTTGACAACTTCCTTTTCTTAGAAAAATCAAGACTGGTCATCTGCGGAAGACTTACATTTCACTCTCTGAATTATTCCAAAATAGCGCATTCAATTATCGCGATAATTAATGAGCTCTACTGATTGGTTAATTATTATTGTGTAATTCTACATTACACGTCACTCGTTATGCAAATTCAGTTTTTTTTTTTTAGTCCAATGTCTTCTGCTCTGCTAGTCATAAACAAACTACTGACATTAACCATTATTTACCCGCATTAATAATTAAATTCGTCATGGTAACGCAATATTACACGGATTGGCACAATGATTTTGTAATATTTTTAGTGTTTCGCGTAATTTTGAACTTTTGAATGGCACTTAACGGAAGAACAACCCAAGGTCCATCCCACACGAATAATCCGGAGAATTCATTAAACGATAATTATCCATTGAATTCAATTATTGGTACCAGACTACTCGGATGAGGGAATAAATAATTTTTATTGTTGTTAATGAATGATAATAGGACTGTGAGTGTTCAAATCCCTCGAACTAAAAACCGCGAATTCCGAGAATTTTTTATTTCTTTTGAAAGAAAAATAAAAAGGTTGACAGATTATCGCAAAAAAAAAAATCGGGAAAATATTTCTTTGAATGAAGTGCTAAGGCCCGGCCTTCTCCAGATCTAGTGTTTTTTTTTTTGGCGGGAATTTATGTTTTGACTGCAATTTTTGAGTGGAAATTAAATTCGCGGATTGTGATTCCCCTCGGAGACGTTTCACTTTTCCCTCTTTCACTTGATCCCAAAATGATGACTATCCCCGTAAAAAAATCACTAGACCTGCAGTAGATCCGGTATTCAAATAAAAGATGATATAAAAATAATTCACCTCAGACGATTAAATAATAAATGATGATGAGTTAAGAGCTGACTAAACACTGAGTCTCGAATTTTCATCAAGTCACCTTTGAATTTCCACCGCACGAATAGGAAACAAGGGATGCCCACACAATAACCGTAGAAATCTTCAAAGTGAATGGAGTGAGAGGACAGAGACAGGAGGGGAAACCCTTTTAAGGCACCGAGCACATCACGAAGTTGGCAAACTTCGTCACACAAAAGCCAAAACGTTAACGTTTTATACATCAAGCCGCAAAAGGAACTGAAGCGGTTTCTCATCAATTTCAGACAAAAACAACGTGAGGCTTTTGTTGGAATGAGGACCGATACTCATAATCGTAGTTGTAATCTCCACTGGTGACAGGTAGCCGTCGTATCCTAGATGGCTTGGGGCTGTGCATACGATAAAGTCCAAGTACTTCCGGTGGTGTATCTCTGAGATCAGTCACATCCGCAACCGCATAAACTCCCTCAATGCTCGTGGAGTTGTTGCGATTGTAATAGGGCGTCTGGTATATACCCTCCGGCTCAACTCCATTAGTTTTTCCAAATTGATTTTGCGACAGCTCACAAAATCCCTCCTCCTTTCTGGGTATCAGTCTTGACTGATTCTTGGCGACATCATTGTTTGGTTCAACATAAACAAGAAGTTCGGGCTTGTTCGGTGGTGAGTATGACGGGCGTTTTTGTCGTTTACCTCGAGTGAGGTAGACTATGAGTCCGAGAATTGTACCAGTAGCTGCTAAACAACCAACAGCTGACAGACTCAGGTATAAAGGGCTCATCCGACACTTCAAAGAACTCTCAGACAATCCCATCAATGGCTTGCTATGAAATTCTTCATCGGCACAATGAATATCACTGCTGTCGACACTCAGATGACTCTCATTTCTCTGTTCCTCTGTGTGGATGACGTTCCAGAGCCACTGAACAGAGCAGTTGCAGATCAGGGGATTTCCACCTACTCTGAATGTCGTTAGATGATCAAGTGGAAATTGTGTTGGTTGTAATGTTGATAGGCTGCAGTGACGTAGCGATACTGTACGCAAATTCTTGAAACTTCCGTAGAGGACTTTTGGTGGCAACTCCATCAGCTCTCGATTACCATCTAGATATATTGTTCCTAGATTTACGTTATCGGCAAATGCACGTCCGTCTATTCTCGTTATTCGACAACCACGGAGATCCAGATGTTGAAGCTCCAGCAATTTTCTAAATGCCAATGACTCCAATGTGGCTATTGGATTCCTCGATAGGATTAGGATAGATAAAACATTGAGATTCGATAATGCTGCAGTTGGTACTTCCGATAAATGGTTCTCTTTAAGATTGAGATAGGTCAAGATTTTCAATCGTTGGAATGCATTATCGGCGATCGTTCTTATCAGATTGTTGGCGAGGTCTAGGTATTTCAGAGATGATAAGGAGATCAACGAGTCGGGGGGAATGGTGTCTATGAGGTTAGTAGCCAAGTTTAGAGTTGTCAAGGTGGAAGTCAGAAGGAGATTGCTTGATGGCATCTCTAGGAGTGAATTTCTTGATAAATCGAGAACGATTATTGATGGGAGATTATTCAATAAGCCCTCGGGCAGGCTCGTCAATGAGTTGCCACTGAGATTTAGACACTCGAGTTTATTTGTCGTGTGAAATGACTGGGCCTCGATGTCAGTTATGTTGTTGTTGCTCAGGTCGAGGTTCCTCAGGGAGATGAGACCTTTCAAGGACTTCTTGGTGATGTTACGGACGGCATTGTTGCTGATGTTCAGGGTGATGAGATTTTCCAGCCATTCGAAATTCTCATAGCCCAATGTGTGGATGATGTTCGATGATAGGTCTAGGTTCTCGAGATTATTGTAAAGGCTAACCTCGTGTTGGAGGGAGGCTATGTGGTTGTTGGATAAATCTAAATGGTGGATCTCGGGGTTCAGCTGAATTGGCACAACTGCCAGACTGCCGAAGACACAGGATGCACGTAGGTGTTCGTCCTCGCAGCGACAGCTTGCGGGGCATAAGTCACTGCTGACCACGGTTGTAAGGGTGATGATCAGAACGATGTAGACCAGCGGTGCCATTCCATACGAACACCTTTGACAACTACCTTCGCATTTCTGAAACAAATAATTCACATGATGTAGATCGCTGTCATCAATTTTGTCTTTATCATCTAAAAAGAAATGAGCGCTGGGTCATCATGAAAATTATTGTGAAGTTGAAAATAAAATCACCCCATACCATTCAACCAATGGGAGGAGGGAACATTTAAAAAAAGCACTGGTCCCCATTTTTTCTTGTTTTCTGCAAAAATTGATTTTAATTTTTGATTTTTTATTCGAGAAATAATATTATGTGCGAATTAATAAAAGAAAATTTTGTGGAGAAATTTCATGCGCAAGTCAAAAAATCAAATGTGTATTTTATTTGATTTTTACGGCTGTGGACAAACATAATTGTTAAAATTATTATTTACGTCTATTGTACAATAATTTAAATAAAATAATTGAACTACAATATGAGAATAGATGAACCCAAAATTTTAAAAATGGGATGAAAAACAAAAAGATGAATTAAAAAATGTCAAGTTAGATATACAGAGGATTAATTAATTAATTAATTCCCGGAAAAATGATATTTCAGTTAAAATCCTTGGATTACATTTCACCACGCGCGTCAGGATGGAAAAAATATTTGATACAAGACAAGTTTTCGCCTTGAAACGTGCGTTTTTCCCGCTGGCAGGATGAAATTTCGTTAAATTCGAAGTACTTTGTAACGAGTCTCATTACAACTTTTACCACTCGTGATAACTTTTTTTTCCCACTTGTGTCATAATATGGTATTCTGGTTGTAGCGAAGGTGAACGCACGTGATCGATAAACTCCATTGTCTGTCAGACTCGGTGGAGATTTGGGTTGGGATTTACTTCTAGTTGAGAATTCCGTAGATGGTTCTCCCTCATAGTTGAGTCTGATCTGCACACATACACGTAATGGCGAGGCAGTTGGTACATATAGGCAAATGCAAATTTGGTGGGAACGGCTCAGCGGCTGGATCATCGGTTTACCTATACTTCGCCCCTTTGTGAATAGAGATTGAATGGGCGGTATTTTATTTTTCCCTTTGTTTTCGTCAGTCAGTTCTCTCTTAACTTTTCTTTTCAATCCCCGTGCGTAATTCACAGCACTCGTATGCAATGAGCTCGAGTCAAAGGGACAGTAATAAAGTAAAAAAAAAAAACAATTAAAAAAAAATTGGACTTAAAAAAAATCACCAGTACTGTGGATTCGTCTGATCGGTCTGTTTTTTTTTTTTATTTTCTTCTCTGTTTTTCCAATCGTTTTGAATACCGATAAAGTAGTACTTTCAGGCACAGAGAAACTCTCGGGTTATGGGATTGTCCAGTGTCCATCCCCTTTCCGACTGGATAGACAACCGGATGATCGAACCCTAGGGTGAACGAATGAACAGGCCTCTCACGATCACGATCCACGTATAACCGTCAGCCATTTATGCACCACCACCGCTGACTCCCCCATCATCCCCCGGACTACACCGTCTCCGAGAATTTTTATCGCACGAATGCCTCGGCACGGGTCACGTACGTTCTCTTTTCCGAATTTTGCGCACCGTCGACTCTATTTTCTCTCTCTGTTCAGTTTCTCCCACCGAGAACAATCAAATTTTTTTTTACGGAAAAAGAAAGGGTTACTATGGGTGTTTAAATGAGGGCGATCGGTTGGGGATAGGTGACACTGACCAAAAAAAAAAATTTCCTAAATTTATCATTTGAGAGAATTATTTAAAAATTATAGTTTCGATTGTAATAATTTTTAGATTCTTCTCATGATTGATTTTCATCGATGAACTAAATATACTTGAATACTTGGATCAAGTACGGCAAGTATACTTTACGTACTTTACACGATCTTGAATACTTGCGGCAAGTATATCGATTAGCAGATCCAAAATTTCCAGAAAATTAAAAAGTATATCAAGTATACTTTAATCAAGTACAGAGTGTACTTTAAATCGATATATTAATGTATCGATACATTAATAATCAATCATTATTAATATTCGTTAATTATTGGCGCGTACATTATTTATTATTCATGTTTACATTTCAAGTGTCAAGTATACTTTATTAATTTTTTTTTTAATTTTTAGCCAGAGCGATTTAATGATTATTCTTTTTTTTTTATTTCAGGTTTGTTGAGATGATTCATGATTTCATTGGTGTTAATTGCCGTTGAAAATCCAGTGAAAGTTGTAATTAATACAAGAATTCTCTGCAGCAATATAATTGCAATAATTGAAAGCTGTTGTAGAATTTATGGAAATTTGCTGTTGAAGGACTGAATACTTCTCTCGAGTGAATGAATATTTGGTGAATAAAAAAAATTTTCTCCGAGTGCAGTCATTGGACGCACATGTGACGTACAGACACTCCTGCATTCACATTGAATTGTGAAAGAATTACGATAAAATTGAAAAACAGCGGACCTGGAATCGATTCGATTGGGTGACACTGAATTCATTTTCAATACCTTTTCATCGGATATTTTGTTTTCATTCCAGCGACACGCACTGATGATTTTGTTTTTAAAACTTTATTGAAAAATGTCACAGTAATTCTTATCAAAGGGATATCGGATAGCTCGGATAAATAAACATAAAAACCAAAATTCAGAATAGATTCCAGGAAAGATTCAAGGAAATCCCAGAATTTCCCATTTCCCCCCCCAATTTTTCCCTTTTCATTTCTCTAACTGAAATCACGAAATCACGTCTCACGAATGTTTAAACAATTTCCTTCAATTATATTCAGTTCTTATTTCTTAATTTATCCCTCGTCCCTATGCTTATCACAATTATTATCATCACAATTATTTTAATTAACCGGTAAAGTCCGTTGAAACAATAAAGGAATTATAATAACATTTCCTTTTATTATTTATCCCACCCATTATTTTCCACAAAAAAATATTTAAAATTAATAACACAATAATTTTAAACGGCCGTTCATATTAGCCCGCCGTCCTCTATATATATATACACTATATATGACTATGTAATAGTAAATATTGTTGATTTAGCGGGAATTCTTCCATGATATGGGCATCCAGTCTTATCCCTCGTTTATTATTATTTTTTTTTTTATTATTCCTCTACCTCTAGTGCCATATTCCCCAGTCGTGTGTATATAATGCGGGGGGATATGTATTGCCGCACACCGGGAATAACGAATTGCAGTGATCCTCTTTAGAGGGGGTAGGGGGGGTAGAGGGTGGTAGAGGGTGGTAGAGGGTGGTGGGGTGGTCGTCCATAATGCACGGATTTACAACCGCCTCGCTATCTTTTTCCATTTTACCCAGCCCAGTATACGACTAACATTTCTGACGGAGAATTGTCGTATATTTTTTATGGTTTATCTTTTTTCCATTTCATCTTCTGTATTTGTCTAGTGTTTCTCTGGAAAACAGTCTAGGAGTTGAAATGATTTTTCAATTAATCTCCGTGTCACATTTAACGACTTCATTCTTTTTTATTTGTTACAAATTCTTTCGTTTGCATGAATTGAATATTTTTATTTATTTATTTAACCCTGATATTTTGGAACATTAGAGTTGAGGGTTTTGTAACGGAATAACGGAATTATTGGGGTTTATCTTTTTTTATTAATATTTTTGTATTATTATTTTATTTAAATGGGTTATCATTTTGAGAGGTGCTCCCAAATTATTATTTATTTTTTATTATTTATTCGTCTTTGATGTTACAAAAGTTTTTCTCTGTTTTACGTAACCCATTCAGGTTTAATAAATCCATTTTGCCCCAAAATTAAATCCTAACTAAATCCAAACTAAATCCTAACTAAATCCAAACTAAATCCTAACTAAATCCAATATAAATCCAAACTAAATCGAGAACATGGAATTATTATTATTCCTCAAATAGTAGAATATTCGGTTGAAATTTCCCCGAAAAAATTCCCTGCAATGACACTTGCATGCGTCAAAGATTTTTACGACTTGCAAGGTATGTCATCCATAGAATGTCTTCCTCCACTATTTTATTGTCAGTTCTTTGGTTGCGACGGGGGTTAGTCCAAGAGTATGAGCGTTGCAAGTAAAAAAAAAAAAATTGTGGTAACCACGAACATCCGGGGGTCGTATCCGGTATACGACCGGATACGTCATTTTCCCGGGGCAATCAGAAAGACCTCTTCTTTCATTCTTTCTTCTTCACTCAATCTTTTTATTCTTCCTCACCTACTATCACACCCTTGATATTTTTTACACTTGATCGTCACCGTCGCGACTCCCAAGAAAATTGAGAAAGAAGCAAAGTGGAATAGACAGTCTTCTCGGCCAGTCTTTTCCTCCCGATATATTTTTTTCCTTCCACTTCTTTTTTCATGAATAAGAACCACCCGTTACGTATTCGAGAAAATTCCCTTCCGGTTGCGCTTTGTCCTCGCAAATGGCGCGATAAAACGATTTTTTTTTTGTCCTCCGCGACCGCCATTTTTTTTTTATACTCCGGACCACTTGAGGGAAGAGCTCTCGAATAAAAATGCCGGCGAATTATTTTTCTCTCGTTTTGCATGATTTTTTCCACCGATTTTTCAGAACGATTTATTATTTCTCTTTCTCTCTTCATTTCTACCTTGAAGATTTGATTTTCTGGTGGAATGTTTATTCACTCGATTTTATTTTCACGTGAATTGTAATCGGTTTGCTGAGATGAAGTGGCGGTGGTTAGAGGAAGAGAATAGATAAGAGAAATGGGTCAAGCACTTTTTTTTTTTTCTTTTCGGTTTTCTCTACTTCAGGCCTGATGCATCGACCAATTGGAAAAATACGATAAACCCGCGATCTCATTTCCCCCACCAATGGTCAGGGATGGGAATAAGAGGTAAAAAAGAATTTATAAATCGGTTGCAGTCATCGAGAGAAAAAAATCTTGATATCTGTAATTAAACTTTAGCTTCGAGGGATTAAATAGTCGAAAGGTGAATTCAAAGATAATCTGCGAGTGAAATTGAAGTTCAATATTCTATTTCCTCTCCCGATTAAAACGTTTAATTAATAATAATAACAATAACAAT